AAAAGTGTTTATTTGATTAAATTAATTTTATTCGTCTTTATATATATACATATATATATATTTCTTTTGATGAATGTATGTATTTAATTCAATATTATATTTGCTTTAAACTTTAAATACATACATCTTTCCAATTAAATATATATATATATATAATAAAAACAAATTAAATTAATTTATCCAAACAAACAATTTCTTTCTGAGTGTGCAATTCCTTCAAAGAAAGAAATTGCTTATTAAAAAGTGAAGAAGACTTTCTAGTAATTAAACGTTAAATTAATCATCTTGATGTGAAAAAGCGACTTTTTATAATTGACGGCAGCTTTTCTCTACAAACTTCGTAATACTCTTTTGGCTTTTATTTATCCATATTCGAGTTATATGTCCTCGTTTATTTGCTATAAATAAATATTTTCATTCCACGCACATTTTCTATATCTCTTATTTTTATAATTTTATTTTACAAATAGAAATTAAGTTTATTGAAATAAACGACGCATGAGTATCTAAACTTGATAGACATTCGTTTAGATCGCGAGATTTGAACAAATTTAATCTCTTCGTTTATAAAATAAAATTGTAAAAAGTAAGATATCTTAGAAAAAAAACTGGGTTGAAAAAAAAGGAGTAGAGGTCAGGACATTATTAAATATAAGTAGACAATAAATAAAGCGGGCGTATTCTGGAATCCTACGTGCGTAGGAGAGCGTTCCGGGATAAAGAATAACTCACGTGAGAGGATGAAATCATCGTTCTACGTAATTATGCGAAATTACTTGTTTATCGATTCCCGCCCATCGCAATTCTCGGAGCGCGACCCCCTTTGGACGCGCGAGCGCCGCCGATTACTCAACGACATATAATTTTCTTCGACACCTTTCCGGGACTCGTCGGCCATGTATGGAGAACAGGAAACACATCGCGACGACTGCATTGGCGCGGAAAAAGGAACGGAATGCACTTGGCTTGCTCTCTTGGAACACGTTTGTACAGAAGGCGACACCAAACTTGCCTATCTCAACGTCCTCTCTCTCGATTTTATTGAACTAGTTGAAATAGAAAGTCCTGGAGCGATCATAAAATTCGAAATGGAAAGCCCCGAGCTGTTAAATAAATTCGAATTAGCAGCGTAAAGACCGTAAAATATAAGATTGCAAATTAATGTCGTATAGGTAAATTTTAATTAACATATGATATAATTAAATACCCACAGTAAGTGCAAATGTATTAATATAAAAAACTTATTTATAAAAAATAAACATTTATTAGTAATTTTATCCAAGTCTATTCCTGATGTACAAACAAAAAAGCTTGGCATGTTCCTAATGTTAGAAGCTAAATTATTTGTCTATATCGTTTTTGCATCCAAATAATACAATTCTCATAATTCGTTATAATTATGAATTAGCAGTAATTCATTTATAACATATTCATTTATACATATACAATATTCATTTGTACACATACATATAATATTCGTTTATATACATATTAATAATCATTTATAATTTTAGTCTTATTTTGTACAAGAATGAATTATAACAAGGCAATTTAGTCAAATTTCTCTTAATATAATATAACGTTTAATTATCACTTATTAAAAAAAATATTTTTTTATTATATTAAACGTAGATAAAATAATTTTGAGAAATAATATAGTCTACTTCATTCGTAGTTAATAAATTGCTAATTAATATTAATTTTTAAAAAGTGCGGTTTAAAAAAATATTTTCCCTGTACAAATACTTTTTGCACTCACTGTATATTATATAGGTATATTTAATAATATGTAATTATAATAATAATAAATATAGATCTGACACGACGAATATTTTAAGAAGATATATATTGTGTGAAAACAAGTATATCATATTCATGCTGACGCATTATACTCATTTAAAATAAATGTTTATCTAAACAAATGTCATTAACAGCATGGTGAGAAAGATAGATATCTAGTAAAATAGCGTGACAATACTATCAGAGATTCGATACACGTAGACTGATTATCGTAAATACGCAAGAAGCATTAATATAAATACTACTTTGTGAGTTAGCTTTCTACTCATAAGTAACATAGACATCACATCAATCTCGCGATCTTTAGTCTTCAATACTTCAAATATTTTTCTATTAAAACAATCACGATTTACCAAATTAGTAAATACGCAAATTCGATTTGATTAAATTCTAATTTGACATAATATTATCAGAGACGATAAAGTAAATCTGGCACGTGATAAATATTTAGATATAATTACATACCTAAAATTATAAAATGTGAAATTATACATTAAGCGTATTATAATAATCTGATATTATATTAATTAAGCGAATAATTTGATGGCAAATAAATATGCGAGAGACTATTATGCGCAGCAGCGATTATTTTCATGATTTACTCACTCTGAAAATTGATATTCTCCATTATTAACCGCAGCAGAAGAATATGCGATAAAACTGACACATCGTGACGATATAGAGCTCGTAGTATTCAGTACGAAAGCTTGCAATAGTGCCAACCGTCTGACATATGATATTGCGAATTCGTGTGAGAAAACACGTGCACACGTATCTCCTCCCCATCTCACAAAATTAATTTCGAGCAACGTACGAGCAGGAATCTGATATTTTTCGCACGTAAATTAATGTTCTCAGATGAAGGATAAATACGCTGAGTTCTCATGAATCATCTCTATCACGGAGTTGATAGATCATTTATTGTGAGAGACAAGAACGGAGATCGAAATTGTACATCAGCACATAAAATTAATATGTGAAAAATACATGTTAAACAATTAAGATACAAATCGAGAACAGGATTATTTTGGGAGAACAAAATACGCGAATTGTAACAGGGTGATAATATAATTACCGACGTAAGTTCATTTAAAACAAATTAATAAAGAAAATATTGTATATCTTCTGGTATTCCTAGATTTACTTTTAACAATAAAATCGACATTAGTATTCTTCTAAAACTGTCGAAAATGCTAGTTCGGTAATTTTCTATTCTTGTTTCCGGTTAATGAAAAGTTGTTCATTAGAATTATTATGTATTATATTCACACAAATTTTCAATATTTTGAAATACAAATAAAGAAAACTGAAATGATTAGCGAAGCCAAAATGGGATCACCAACAGTTCTGTGATATTAAATTTTATTAATATTATTTCATAGAGTATATTAAATTTCATATTATTTTATATCTCTCTTTCTCTCAAGCTGTTAATTATTTCATCATACGAGACAATTACGTTATCTATTTATTTTCGAAACTAGTTTTCAATGCGCCTATAAATCTTATCTGAACGTTTTCCCAAGATATGACGATAGAAAATCGATACATGAGGGGAACATTGGTCGGAATGTTACATTTGTGTGAGAAATGCATTGTCATACAGGCCGTTTATCAGAACATCATGCAGAAAGCTATGCGGCAGTTCAAAATGCGAGAGATCCGCCCAAACAGTTCCGTTGGAGGTTCGTCGCTTATATCGTCAAGACCATAGAGTAGACTCAATTAACCTTATTACGGTTTAATCGCGAGCATGATGGTATCAACGTATCGTTTAAAAATAACTCTCAATGATTGCTTATCGATTCTCGTAGCAAGAACAACGAAAATCGGCATTGTCCTAAAGCGCAACAGTACAATCTTACAATCCTACGCAAGGATCGGAAAAAAAGACAAAGCATAAAAAAAAATATGAGAACTACTAATTGATTTTTAATATAAAAATGGGACAAAAGTTTCCGCTATTTCTCATGAGTTCTTAAAATTACATCGATGACTCTCGAATCGAAAGAGTTACGTTAACCAAACGTTAAAAGCCAGTCTTCTATCATCTGGATCGCACTAAGGCACTTGTTCAAACACGTTTACACTTCGGCAAACACACTTCGCAGTTTTTTCCTCTCCTTTTTTCCCCCTATTTCCCGAGAGAACTATTTACGCTTTTCCCCATATTTCAATGCTCGCCTCATCTCCTATCGCCCGTGTCGTCGCGCTTTTCTTGTCTAAAGTGACTTCGATCAATACTCAGGCGACACAATGAGCCTGACCGCCGAGCAAATACACGCGAATTGCGCCGTTCGTTCGTATACGACACGACGAGATACACCGATCGAGGTAAAGGCGGAAATGTAAATTTTCCGCTCTACTTCTTTTCAAATATATACGTATAGATACTATCTATGCATATCTTCTGAGAAAACAGATATAATCAGAGATGTACACATTCTATTCATTAGCACAGATACATATTTCTTATTCTTATAGCGATATAAATTCTTTATTAAATAAATCAATGAATCAGTGTTTAGTGAAACCGTATGAAAGAATTCTCTGGGAATTCCCGGATTTTTCCATTTTTTTCCCGAAATATCAGACAAGATTTGAACATTTTTCAATAAATTAGAGTACATGTAACGCAAACTTGTATATATATTGAAAATTAGTAGAAGACAGATTCCACGAAAATAGGTTTATCATTTTCTACAATTAAAATTTGCAAAATTTAACATTAGCCAGCTACTTCTCTTTTAAGTATTATCTTCTAACTGTTGCCTTGACTTCCTAAAAACTCGCGAGACACACGAGAATGTATAAAATATACGCGTGTATATCATACTTACTGTCGATTGTCAACATTATCGAGAAAAAATGATCATAAAGCAATGTTTTCAGAAATAGGCAATTTCTTCGAACATTGATAACGTTCTATTTGAAACCCCTGATTTCTCTCCAAAGATGAAAATATTCTCTTGAAAATTCTGAGTTCTAGAAACACCCTTTACTCTTCTTTAATAAATATAGCTATCAATAAACAATATTTTCAATGATAGACTTGTTAATCACTCAACATAAGCTTGAGTCGAAAGTGTTTTTCTAACGTAGGTCTATTCAGGCGTATAAGACTCGCTGAAACGGAAAGGAAAGGGCGACCGATACGCTTGGATTTTAGGGCAGGAGAAAGACTATGGTTATTCACTCACCAATACATCGTAGCAGATCTCGCGCAATTCCTTCTCGACCTTTTCCCGATATTCCTTGGCCATCTGCTGTTTACGTTCGGAGCCTTCGGTCTTCTGCTCGATGGAGGAGATTACCCGCCACGAGCTACGTCTTGCTCCTACGACATTCTTGTATGCCACCGAAAGCAGGTTCCTCTCCTCGTTCGACAGCTCGACTCCCGTCTCGGTGACCGCCTTCATCGCGGACGCCATGTCGTCGTACCTTTCCGCCTGTTCGGCAAGCTTCGCACGCTGCACTAATTCCTCCTTATCCACGGACATTGTGTCGGCTAGAATCACAAAGGAACGCAAACGTCAGTGGAACTCCAAGTTTAGATTGCTGACGAAGATTCTTTCGCGGTTTCAGTAAGCAAAGGTAATCTCAACATCGAACATTGTTTTTTATAAAAAAAAAATTGTATAACTATAGCTAAGAAAAAGAAACTGTAAATTAAAAAAGACAAGGATTGCAAATCCCTAAAATTGTCTGCATTTCCAAGATCCAAAAATTACAATGTTAAGGGGAGTCTAAAGTCGTCTGTATTACCGACTAAACCATATAATTTTTGTATCGTAAATACTTTTTTTGTCATTCATAAATTTAAAAATCCTTTTACAGGATTAAGGTATACGCATTAATACGTTCGAGCTTTGCCTTAGGATCATCTTAAAAGACGTCTGTAAACGTAAGTATATACTGGGAAAAAATTCTAATTAAAAATGAACGAACCAAAAAATTCTAATCGTATCAGAATTCTAATTATCTTAACTAGAATTTCATGTTTTCTCATGATTTTCAATATATAATATTTTAAAATTTTTTAGTATTTTTATCCTAATTTAGAAATCGTTATACATTTTATCCAGAGATAATTTAACAAGATAAATTAATGTTGCTGATACTGCTTGCATTTTTAATTGTTAAGTTGGTAATAATATAATTTCAAAACTGCGTAAGTTTAATGTACATATATCATACTTCTTTAAAGCCAAGAATTTTTATTTTTCAGATAATTTTACAAATCCTCTGACTTTTCCCCAACTTTCCTGATCGTTTTCAATTTCTTTGACAATTCTCTAATTTCCCTAATTTCGAGTTTTGTGACAATTCAGTTAAAGCTTACTATTATACATTATGTTTCAGGCTTAAATGCTTTTTGACCGAAACATCGTATCGTTCACATTTACAGTTTAAATATAAAATATTAAACCGCATTTTGCGCGGTGCAAAGCAATATTCCACTTTGCGCACACTTCGCAAATAACTTCAGCGGGAATTATCAGGTTTGTTGTGAGGGATGATAGAGATAAGAAAAAAAAAAATGAACTCGCATAGGTATTGAGCAGGTCAGAGAAGTTGTCGAATGAAGAAGCACGTTGAGATAGGACAGCGGGGAGGGATGTAACACGCGGTGCACAAAGCGCTACCCGCCCCGCGCACGTTTCAATGTCGCCTAGTTCCTTTTGTCGCGTGTCCCCGGAGAGGTCGGGAAGAATAGGTCTCTCTCACAAAGACGCGCTTAGAAGCCAGACATCACGACGATGACGACGCGACGACGACGACATGATGCTGCGTACCCACTCACGAAACCCGACTGGCCTCATTCGCCTCGGTAAACGATCGACGCACGTCTGTTCCGGAGACAGAACGACCTTTTCCCTTTCTGAGTCACGTGCATGCAACTCGGTTCCTTTATCCTTTGGACGCTTCGAGAGGTAGCTCAATGCATCCAAAACCGGAAAATATCGTTTGCTCGATGCAGCAAATGACTTGCTTTCTTCTTGCTTTGAAAATTTTTTTTTTGTTAAACAATCATCAATTATCATACTTTTTATTGATTTGCCTAGGTTTACTTAGGGACAAATAAAAACTTAATGTTCTTGTTTGTCCCTTGAAAAGAAAGCGAACATTCCTGAGATGCATTTTCAAGCTGAGCAGCTGCTGCTGCCAGCCTTGTCTCGTCTGTCAGAAAATATTCAGGTAAAACGTTTTTGCAATAAAAAAAGAAGAAACCGGCAATCTCAACTTTCAAGGCAAAGCGATACGTAGAGATATATTGAAATTTATCTTTCTTCATCAAGAAACATGAAACGTTATCTGTCGTTTCTTCCTTACGTGAGCATTTATTCCCTCTACTGTTACTATGTAATTATAAGTCTACAATACAGCACAGCTATATAATTATATCAATCGTAAATTAATTCTACATGTTTAATGCTGAGAAAGAAAAAGTGATCGAGGTCGTAAAAGAAGGAAAATAAAGGAAAAAAAGGTTGTATCTATCGAAGTCACTAATCAAAGTGTTTTCTTCAATTGAATCGAATGAGTATTTAATCGCTGAGGAATCGATATGACATACGTAACTTGATAAACATTGCAATAAGACTACGTCATAACAGAATGCAACACCCACACGCGTTTACTGCGGGAACCGCATTTCCATGGAAACCCGTGCAAAAGCATCTATTTCCGACATGAAAGCGAGATTTGCCATGAAATAGAGTATCACGTAGCTCTTTGGACATGGCCGATCGATGCACGTGAACGTTGTTATCTATCAAAAGCGCATTATGTAAGATTCGTAGCTTTGAATATCGATATCAAACGACATTCACTAATGAGGATTCAGTGTAAAATGATATTTTACAAATTATAAAATAACAATCGCGATAATTACGATTAAACTCAGTTTTACTTTAAAAATATCGTCTTTGCAAATTATTAATAATTTTATCCTTTAATGACATTCTTTATTTAACATATTTTTTGAGACGATTATTTTATCCTTATTGGAATAAGTTGATAAAGCTCTGCTTTACTCTAAAAAAAATTCATTAAATCTTAATACATATTACTTCGAATAGTGCTAATTGTAAATAAACATTTATTTACGTATAAATAAATATTTCTTTAATAAAAAAAGGTATATAAATAAACTTAATGGACTTTTTGTATCAAATAAATATATATTTACATTTAGCAAACGTTTACTAAGTAAACTATTCAAACAAATATTTATTAAAATTTAATTTTTTTTTCAGTAACTTTTACACTACTCTCTTTTTTTTTCGAATCATAACGCTGTAACTTTGTTTTAACATCTGTCCATTAAAATTAATCAATAATACCTTTTTTCATTTAATAGCATTTACAATTAAAAAGAAATTCTTTTTTATTTAATCATAAATAACGACGCTCAGGATTACATCTAACTCACGCCAAGTCTTATCTCTAATCTGTCATTTTAATCTACTGGACAGACTATCACCGGTCATCTAACGGAATGACAAGCGTGACCATACGAGATTATCTAGCTTACGCAACAATTGCCTAGTCTTATCTTTATTTGTCATTCGCATACAAAGAGATGCCTAAGAGAGGCCTAAAGCGCGCGCGTACTATTTTTGCATCTGATGGAGAGAGTTCGAGACCACGCAGTACTAATCTTTTTTTTCATTTCATAAAGAAAACATCATTTTATACATTTTTTATGTTTATTTATTTTTTATTTATAAAATTCGGACAATACCGTACAATGTTGTGGGTGAAAAATAATGTAAAAGCATCGAAAACATAAATAACCGAACACCACGAACATTTTATAAAACAATAAATCGTGTTGCAAATTACATTTCAAGTTATGTAGATTTGCAGGAAACCATAATTGATTAACATTATAAGAAATTTCGCGTTCATTTGCCAACTTTAACGCGTATCATGCAAACAGGATCATATTTTTAATTTTTGGAGCACATAATAAATAATAAGCTAATTATTGAATTCTTATTGTATCACACATGTTGCAAATCCAATTTTATTTTTCTTTCATCAATAAGATTATCTGGACACTTTTGAATTTCCTTAATATGATAATTTCGACTTGTGTAAAAATAAACATTACAAGGTTGACAAATCAGAGTGCACTTCGGAGGTATAATTTGCAAATTACATGTTGGCTTATCATTATTTATAAAAATTTCATTATATATGTGAATGTTCTTTTACTTTCCCCAAGAATCAACAATTAATAAAAATGGATTGTTGCTTAAAGTTTCAATACTGTTTCTAAATACTGTTCATACAAATATGAGGTCAGTTTATCTAACTTTGAGCAGATAACAGATACATTTTTGCATAATTTTAAAAGTTCATCGACTTCTTTAACGCGTACTTCAAATATGTCTCCCAGTTCTTGTAAACATATATACGAATACTTTATCTAATAATTTTCCAGATTTTGTTAAGGAATATTGAGCAGTGCACGAATGTGTTATTTTATTCAAATCGCCTACGTAAAGTTCGACTTTCTTTTCACCTATATGCGTATACGTTCTTGAAACATTAATTCGATATTCGCAACCGGTTTGATCCGTATTAATAATAAAATCAGAATTATAGTCGGTTGAAATTGATTGCATCACAGTTTGAAATTGTATCGCAGACTTCATGATATATTCCGGTGATTTGATTTCTTTCCTGGATAAAAATATCATATAACGCGACGATTTAAAATCTTATAATTTTTTATAAAATCAACTAGCCACATTGACGATGCTACAAAATGGAAAACGCACTCATTTTTGTTTTCCACATTTTCGAATGAAATTGCAGCAGCTAAGTTCGTTGTTGTAATTGCCATCTTGTTACTAATTACTTCTGCTCTGGTGCTTCGGTAAATCGATCATGTACATTTTTTTATAACATCTATTTTATCTGAAAATTTACCATTTGCTCTAAAATTTATTTCTTAAAATGTGTAATATCACTGTTACGGCGTAAATGTTATTTAAATCGCTTCTGTAAATATTTGAAATTTCAATTTGGATTTTTATTTGCAATCATGACAATTTTTAATTGAACATTGAAAGAAACTCTGATATTTAGCAATTTCTTCAGATGGTAAATATTCTTCATCACATGTTGATGTTGTAGTTTTCTCATCCAGTTGTTCTATTACATTTTCTTGTGCTTCGTCAGAAGAACAATATTCCATACATCCTCGAAAAACGTACATTTTCTCAACATTTTTATAAAACCTTTCAACATTTTTCCAGCAATCTCTAGTGGATTTTGTAAATTGTTTGGGTGGATAGATCGGCATAAATCGATCAAAATGTAACAAAATGTCTGTAAAAATATTCAATATTTCCACATTATATATTTCATATAATATTTTAAAAAATATACAAAATATTTATCTTTGAAATATGCGATTCTATCGGTTAAATCTTTTAAAATATCAGATTTTGCCAATATTTCAATTTGTTCTGTCAAGAATGGATCCATTTT